CCATAGCAAGCACTGAAATCGCGCCCCTGTCCAAACATCTGACACCCCTCTTTTAGATAATTTTACCATAATATCAGCTCAAAAATACAAGTCAAGTTCACTAATCTTTTAATTAACACATTACTGTGCTTGAGGAAGGATGTTGGACCATAGTTGGTAGTATGGTCAGTGGCGCCATGTACCCAGGGCTGGTACAGTACCCTAGATATGCCACTGATTCCAAAGGAGAGTCAGCAAAAGGCTGCACATCTTAACATACTGACCAAACAAGGTGCTTAATATAGTAGCATCAGTTATAAATGAGAACTCTTAAGTGCTACCTATAGTAATTGAATCTCGACTCTTAGAAACCGCAGTTTCTAAAGACCTCAGTTAATACACTCATTGGGAATTCCCCGTGGTGTCACTAGGGTTGGTGTCACCCACTGTGGTAACTCACGGTGTCACCTGCCTCCATGCTAATTACCACAATATTGTAGCTAAAACACCAGAAAATTTGACAAAATCAGCGAGTATAAAAATACCGGCAGCAACAAAAACAACAGCATGTGCATGTAGCAGACGAAATCATATGATTCCAAGTGTCATTGTAATTGGGTTATAATGACAGCTTTGATCTGAGCGCATTAGAAGGTGAATCTGGAGGGCATTATGCTGAGTGAAATAAATCAATCACAAAAGGACGAATAGTGTATGAGACCACTATTATAAAAACTCATGAAAAGGTTTACACAGAAAGAAACAATCTTTGATGGTTACTAGAGAGAAGAGGGGTGGGGAGGGAAAAACACTAACTAGACAATAGATAAGTAGTAACTCTGGTGAAGGGTAAGACAGTACACAGTACTGGGGAAGTCAGCACAACTTGACCAAGGCAAGGTCATGGAAGCTTCGTAGACACATCCAAACTCCCCGAGGGACCAAATTACTGGGCCAAAGGCTGGGAACCATGGTAGCGGGAAACGTGTAGCTCAATTCGCATAACATAGTTTATAAACAAAATGTTCTACATCGTACTTTGGTGAGTAATGTCTGGGGTCTTAAAATCTTGTGAACGGCCATCTAAGATACTCACTCTGCTGGTCCCACCCCACCTGGAGCAAGGGAGGATGAAGAAAACCAAAGACACAAGGGAAGGATTAGTCCAAAGGACTAATGGACCATAGCTACCACAGCCTTCACTAGACCGAGTCCGGCATAACTAGATGGTGGCTGGCTACCACCACCGACTGCTCTGACAGGGATCACGATAGAGGGTCCTGGACAGAGCTGGAGAAAAATGTAGAACAAAATTCTAACTCACAAAAAAAGACCAGACTTGCTGGTCTGAGAGAGACTAGAGAAACCCTAAGAGTATGGCCCCCAGATACCCTTTTAACTCAGTACTGAAGTCACTTCTGAAGTTCACCCTTCAGCCAAAGTTTAGACAGGCCCATAAAACAAAACGAGACTAAATGGGGACACCAGCCCAGGGGCAAGGACAAGAAGGCAGGAGGGGACAGGAAAACTGGTAATGGGAAACCCAAGGTTGAGAAGGGGAGAGTGTTGACATGTTCTTGGGGTTGGCAACCAATGTCACAAAACAATATGTGTATTAATTGTTTAATGAGAGACTAATTTGCTCTGTAAACCTTCATCTAAAGTACAATAAAAAATAAAAATAAAAATTTAACTAAGCATAGAGTTTTAGCCTTGTAGGTATATTGATGCATTTAAGGTGGGCTTACGAAAAATGTTTTTGTTGTTATAACTAACTACAGGGATATTTTTATAAAAAATAATAAATTTCTGCTGAAACACTGCAAAAAAATTTTATAGACAGTCACTTTGGTGTCACCCCCTCTTGACAGTGTCACCCGCTGTACTCCACACCCCCCGCACTCCCCTAGTGATGCCACTGGGAATTCCAAGCAACTGTGTAGACTCTCCCCCAGAAACCATCTCCAGAGTCCAAACAAAACCAGCTCATGTAAAGTTTGAGGAGAAAGGTATCTTCTCTATCTAAAATCCATTTCTAGCGGGCAGTTTTGCATCAGGTTTAGAATTGTCTGTGGCATGAATTTACAGTCTTGTATGTATGGCTAGTAGCTTTAATTTAAAAACAAATATATTCCGCATAGCCCTTTGGGTGCATGCTAGCAGCAACTTCATGAACTACATTTTCATCCATATGTACGATATGAATTCAAATAGCGATGTTATAACTGACCTATGATTAAACTAGAATTTGAAAAGACAAGTAAGCAATGACAGTTTAATCTAGGATATTAAGTGGCCTGGTGCTGAATGAATATATGTTTTAGAAACACGGTAGTGGCAAAAAAAATATTTTTAAAGAATTTACAAGTATAGGCATCACCAATAAACAGCTTGAACTTAATGATCTGCTTTTTAGTGTTTGAGATTTATTTTTTAGTCAAGCAAACTGAGTATTTGAGTAATGATTTTAATTTTTTTCTCAGTTGCAAATTAACTAAGCCCCTTATAGACAAGGTACTTATTATCCTTCCCAGGGATAGTCATAGCTCCTAATCTGAACGTATTATCTACTCTTATGGTTGGTCAGATTGCTCAGCCAAAAGAAAGAAATGAACGCATCCATGGCCATCTGATGCAGGAGCCTAGAAACATCTTTAAATGATGCTTTAAAAATACAATAAATCAAATACTATTTCTCTTGAGAACTTCATTTTGATAAGGCCAGGCTATTAAGCCTTTAAATGTGTTATTTCATTATTTTATTTTCCCATAGAAGTAACTTATATATACCCATTGCCGCCAAGTTGATTCCAACTCATAGTGACCCTATAGGACAGAATAGAACTGCCCTGTGGGGTTTCCAAGGAGCGGCTGGTGGATTCAAACTGCTGACATTTTGGTTAGCAGCCTGAGCCTTAACCACTGCACCACCAGGGCTCCGAAATAACTTAAGAGGTTAGCATTTAAGAGTCCTAAAAAACTAAGTAAAAACTAACTAATCTTTTTTCACCCAAAAAAAAAAAAGGTCGAGAAGGGAGAGGGTTGACATGTCGTGGGGTTGTTAACCAATGTCATAAAACAATATGTGTACTACTGTTTAATGAGAAACTATTTGTTCTGTAAACCCTCCCCTGAAATACAATTAAAAACAAACAAACTAACTAAACTTTAGATTTAGTTGTACTTTCAGGTTAGTCCCATTAAAAACTATTCTTGCATTTCAGGTAATTTCTCGGCATACTCGGGAGCTACTGGGAATTGAAGAGCCACTGTTTAGACGTTCCATCACCCTTCCCTACAGGGACAATATAGGTTTGTTTTTAGAACAAAAAAGTCATACTGGGATAAAATCTAACTCTTTGACCTTATCTGAATTTGTCCAAGCAGCAGGATTACAGGATTATGCTCCACAAATAACTTCCTCTGAAGAGAATCAGGCATTGCATTGCACTGAACCATAGCAGAAAGCCATTTCACTTAGCCTGAAGGATCAAACTAAACTACTCTGGGGAAGAAGTGTAGTCTTTGGTTTTTCTTCATCTCCTTTTCATCTAACTTCTTTTCAGAGTTAAAACTGCTGGCTCCTTCTTAGTTCTACCACCAACTCATAGCACTGTCCCTTTATTTGGTTTCAGTTTAGCCCCTTGTTAAAACAAAGATAGTAACACTTAACCTTTGTGAGTAACGATAATAACTTCTGGTAAATTCTAGCGATGCATCTGGTGGTAGAAACATGTTGGGGAAATATAATTAAAAATAAAATCTCCTGCTGACCCAAATATTCTTCTTCACAAATTCAGAAAAGAAAGAAAAGCTTTATTATTGCATACATCACAGGCAATCCACTAAAGAGATTTCAAAGACAAAGAAATCTCACCCTTTTATATAGCCAGGCAGATACAGGCCATTATATACATGTTAATTGCCTTTATCCAAAGGAAAATTAAAAGTTCTTTCTTTATGACAGCGCAGTGGGTAAGAGCTCAGGCTGCTAACCAAAAGATTGGCAGTTCAAATCCACCAGCTGCTCCTTGGAAACCCTGTGGGGCAGTTCTACTCCATCCTATAGGGTCGCTATGAGTTGGAATCAACTTAACGGCAGTGGGTTTATCTTTATGACAAACAGGAAGTTATTATTGGAACCAAGCACCTAGGCTAAAGTCCCATAAAGACAGGGTGCCATCCTCCTTGATGCTAACATTTCAAAGACATGGCCCCAAGGCCCCCAAGAAAGATATCCTGGGATGCAAAACTGGCAAGAGACTTACTAGCTTTTAAAAATATTTACATACTTCTCAAAGAGACAGAGAAAGGATTTACAATCACAAGTTTTCTAGAGGAAATATTTTGAGAAAAATGAGGGGGGTTCTCTTTCCCTTTTGGCACCAAAGAAAATTCCAATTTTTTTTTTTTTTTTTAAGATTTATATTACCTTTCCAAATGACATGATTTATAGAAGTACAACCGACTATGGAATAGGGTCTGGAGTTTGCTTACAAGGCTCTTTTATGTAGTACCTTTTAGACCGTCATAAAATGAAATTCAGGCCAGAGTCTACCCATGACAGCTTCTCAAAACAAATTACAGAATACTTCTGGTTACTTGAGTTACTCCCGTTCCCCTCTAGTTTCATAGATTAAACTGTTCTTTCTCCACCCTATCTCACTTAATCCTAAAAATCACTATCCAAACCAAACCCATTACTGTTGAGCTGATTGTGACTCACAGCGACCCTATAGGAGAGAATAGAACTGCCCCACAGGGTTTCCAAGGCTGTAAATCTTTATAGAAGCAGACTGCCACATCTTTCTCCCACGGCTGGTGTGTTTGAACCGCCCACCTTTTGGTTAGCAGCTGAGCCCTTAATCACTGCACCACTAGGGCTCCGTAAAAACCACTATACCTGAAACCCACTGCCATATAGTTGATTCTGACTCATAGCGACCCTATAGCACAGAGTACAACTGCCCTGTAGGGTTTCCAAGGAGCAGCTGGTGGATTCTAACTGCCGACCTTTTGATTAGCAGCCAAATGCTTAACCACCGCACCACCAGGGCCCCAAAAAGGGTTAACATAATCCAGAAGGACAGTGATGTACCTTGATGTAACCTGTCCAGTTCCTTATACCTGAATGAATACTCAGAGGAACCTGGGATTGTTTTCCCCCACTGAGGAACAATAACTCAAAGTAGCATTTATGCCAAGTGTTAATATTTGGTGATGACTCTAACTGCTCCCCTACAACTGGACTAACAGGATTTTATCTGAAACCATTCTAACACCATACCATTGGATTTGCCTGGCTCACAATTATGCAAAATCATAATGTAAATGATTAGCCTAAGACCATGGTGATTTACATGTACGGTGAATGGTTTTGTTCAAAAGCACTTCAGTATTTAGCAAACAATGTTCTGTTCAATGGCAAGGCATAGTAAATAACATCCTTTTCCAACTAGGTGGGGTCACTGCCATTGTTTTCTACTCTGTTATAATTGACAAAGTATTTGCAAAACATATAGGAAATAAACAAATTTACACTTTAGAAATAAGTTCTGTACTTCACAAAATTATTTTTAGTCAATTGATATAAATGCCAGCTATTTTTTAAATGATGGGAACAGATTTCAGTAAGATAGTATCAGAATAGTCATTTTTAGCTGAAATAAGCATGAAATGAGCCATAATTCAATTCAGATGACTTACCATACATTTTACTTGTCTATCAAAAAATGGTAGGAAAATCAAGCTGTATCATTTACAAGCTACATAGTACTACCGGAACAGAAGCTGCAGCATGTAACTGTCTAATAATGACACTATAATTTCTTGAATTCGGTTAGCTTTTAAGAGAGAAATCATTTGAATTAACAAGGCTTTCCTGGGGAAGCAGTTTACTTAAGTGGGTTAGGTTATGTAGTTTCATTTGATTGTTTCCTAGAGCCAGACACACCCAAGTATACCGAGGTAAAGGACTTCTTGTTTTATTCCACGTTTTAAAGAGCCAACAGTACATTTTTCTAATATCTTAGTGCCAATTTGTGGCAAACACATGTGGCAAACACAATATAGTCACATGACTCCCACTGTCAATTGTGGTAATCAGGGCACACCCATTTTAGAACTAATCTGTGAGATAGAAAAGAATCCTGATTCCTAAAATCTTGTCTCTTACTGGGATGGAGAGCCAGTGGAAACCTCTGGCTGGTCTTTGATTAGGGAGATGCCAAATGAGTGACAGTAAAAATGGGTAAGGTGGTCCTGGAGAGCAGTACTCTTAGAAAGATGCAGGCTGAAGGGAGTTTCCTTGAGTTGCACAGCTGCCAGATCAAACCAAGGGAAAGGCCTGGGGTAAAAAAAATAATAATAAATGATGTTACTTTTTTATCTGTTCAGTACATCTGATTTGGCTGTTAAACATTTCCTTTAAAGAAAAATTTCTTCCACTTGGAAATAAAATTCTTCATTTTCTGTACCAAAGTAATTAAAATTCATAATTTGTTAAACTAGTTAAACTAGGAATTCATCTGGAGCTATTCAGTATATGGATTTAATTGTTCTTAGGATTTTTCACATTCTTGCTCATTTGTCTAAGTGTATTTGGAGAGAATTACCAAACTAGAGAATTATCATAACATCGACACTGATATCCTTTTCAGTATATTTTCCTTAAACTCGAGAATATATGAGGATCATGGACACTAGGAATAGAAAAGTTGAACTTTCTTTTAAGATATCCTCTTCATCTATGTAGGAAAAGAAGCAGAAGTTTATTTGCAAATGAAAACGGGGGCAATGTTAGTATTAATAGCAGAATTCAAGTGAAAAAAGCAGTAGACAGTGGATTTTTCATTGTTAAAAAGATCTGGAATGAGGCAAAAATACCAGCTCTTACCACTTTCATTCAACATAGTACTGGAAGTTCTAGCCAGTGCAGTAAGGCAAGAAGAGGAATTAAAAGGCATACAGATTGGAAAGGAAGATATAAAATTGTGTCCCTATTTGTAGATAACACAATTATCTATATAGAAAATCCCAAGGAATCTACAAAAAACTTCTAGTAGTAATAAATGAGTTCAGCAACAACACAGGATACAAGATAAACATAGAAAAATCAATTGTATTTCTGCATACCAGTAATGAATACATGAACACCAAAATTTAAAATGTAGTAACATTTATAATCTCAAAAACAAAATACTTAGGTGTAAATCTAACAAAACATGTATAGGACTTGCCTACTGAAAACTACAAAATCCTGTAAATACATCAAAGACAATCTAAATAAATGGAGATACATACAGTGTTCATGGATGGAAAGACAACATAATAAAGATGTCAGTTGTCTACAAATTGATCTATAGTTGTAATGCTAAAAAAAAAAGTGACACCACCAAATGTTGGCAAGGATGCAGAGAAACTGGATCACTCATACATTCCTAGTGCCAATGTAAAATAGTACAAGCACTCTGAAAAATGGTTTAGCAGTGTCTTAAAAAAATTAACATGTAACTACCATATGACCCAGCAACCACACTCCTGGACATTTATCCCAGAGAAATGAAAACTTAAATGTTTGCACAAAAACTTGAGCATGAATAGTCATAGCAGCTTTATTCATAACAGCCCAAAACTAGAAACAACCCAGTTGTCCTTCAGCAGGTAAATGGTTAAACAAACAGTGGTATATCCATGACATGGAATACTAGTCAGCAATAGTATTGATGAATCTCCAGAGAATTATGCTGAATGCAAAAGGTTGCATGTTATGTGATTCCACTTATATAACATTCTTGAAATGACAAAATTATAGAAATGGAGAACAGATTAGTAGTTTCCAAGTTGGTGGAGTAGGACTGGGGAGAAGCCAACATGAGGTACCTTTGTGGTGATGGAAATGTTCTGTATCAATGTCAATATCCTGGTTGTGATACTGTACTACAGTTTTGCAAGAGGTTACCATTGAGGGAAACTGGGTAAAGGGTATATGGGATCTCTGTATTATTTCTTACAACTGCTTGTGAATCTATAATTATCTCAAAATGTTTAATAAAAAAAAAGAAGGGGATACTAACTTAAAAGTAAAATTCAAAAAGAAGCTATCTTCACTTCTCTATCCCCTTCTATTGGATTATTTTGAAGCAAAGCCCAGATACTCTGTCATTTAATTCTTTTTTTTTTTTTTTGGTCTCTATGTCTAAAAGGGAACCCTTGTGGCGCTCAGCTCTTTTTAAAAAAATACCACAATATTAATTCCTTTATATCATCAAATATGCAGTTTTATAATTTTTTTTACAGTTGGTTTATTTGAATCATGATCCAAACAAAGTCTACATGTGCATTTTGGTTAATCTGACTTTTAAGACTTTTTTTAATCTATAGGGTCTTTTTCCTCTTTTTTTTTTTTTCCTTTGCAGTTTATTTGTTGAAGAAACTGGGTTGTTTGTCCTATAAAGTTTCCCACAGTCTGGATTTTGCTGATTATATCTCATAGTGTCACTTAATACTTTCCTCTGTCTCTTGAATTTTCTGTGAAAAAAAGGTAATTTAATCTAGAGACTTGATCAGATTCAGGTTCAATTTTTTAGCAAGAATACTTCATAGGTGGCTGTGTGTTTTTATCAAGAAACATGTTGTCTCTCTTTTTCTAATGTGAGCACTGATTAGTGGATTCAGTCTGATCCATTCACTATAAATTTCCCTCATCAACTTTCATTATTTCATTGCATCCATTATCTCATGAGAGATTGCAAAATGATGATATTCAATCAGTGGAGATGGTGAGTATGCACTTAACTGGGTGTGGAACTGATATCTAAGCTGAAGATATATAGTTATGTGCTGTCAGCATAAAGATGGCTGAAGTCTCTGAAGTGGAAAAGATCACCTGAGAGTCCAGAAATAAACCCATACATTTATGGTCAATTGATTTTTGACAAGGATGCTAAGTACATGTGTTGAGGAAAGAACAGTCTCTTCAATAAATGATGCTGGGAAAACTGGATTTCCACATGCAAAAGAATGAAGCTGGACCCATACCCCAAACCATATATGAAAACTAACTCAAAATGAATCAATGACCTAAATGTAAGAACTAAAACCATAAAACTCTTAGAACAAAACATAGGAGTAAAGCTTCGGGACCTAGTTATTGACAATAGATTCTTAGATATGACACCAAAAGCATGATCAACAAAAGACAAAATAGATAAATTGGACTTCATCAAAATTAAACTTTTGTTCATCAAAAGATTTTATCAACAAAGTGAAGAGGTGACCTACAGAATGGGAGAAAATTTTGGGGAACCTTATATCTAATAAGGGTTTAATATTCACAATATACAAAGTACTCGTACAATTCAACCACAAAAAGAAAAACAGTCCAATCAAAAAATGGGCAAAGGACTAGAATAGACATTTCACCAAACAAAATATACAAATGGCCAGCAAGCACATGAAAAGATGGTCAGTATCATTAGTCATTAGGGAAGTGTGAATCAAAACTACAATGAGATACCACTTCACCCACTAGGATGAGTATAATTTTAAAAAAGGAAAATAACAAGTGTTGGTGAGGGTGCGGAGAGGTTGGAACGCTCATACACTGCTGGTGGGAATGGAAAATAGTGCCGTTGCTGTGGAAAACAGTTTTATGGCTCCTCGAAAATTTAAACACAGACTTACATATAACCCAGCAATTCCACTCCTAGGTATATACCCAAAAGAACTGAAAAGCAGAGACACAAACAGATACTTAAACACTAATGTTCATTGCAGCACTATTCACAGTAGCCAAAAGGTGGAAACAACCTAAATATCCATCAACAGATGAATGAATAAGTAAGGTATAGCCATACCAAACCAAACCAAACCCATTGCCATCAAGTCAATTCCGACTCCTAGCAACCCTATAGGACAGAGTAGAACTGCCCCATAGGGCTTCCAAGGAACGGCTGGTGGATTCGAACTGCCAACCTTTTGGTTAGCAGCCAAGCTCTTAACTACTGCGCCACCAGGGCCCCAGATAAAATGGAATATTATTCATCCATAAAGAAAGTGAATTCTGGTACATGCTATATGGATGAACCTTGAAAACATTATGCTGAGTGAAATAAGCCAGACACAAAAGAACAAATATTTTTTGATCTCCCACTTATATGAAATACCTAGAATAGGCAAATGCATAGATACCAAACTTTATTAGTGGTTACCAGGGGCAGGGTGCGGGGGGGAAAGAGGGAATTATTGCTTAGGGGGCATTCAGTTTCTGTTAAGGGTGCGAAAATATTTGGAAGTGAATTGAAGTGATGTTTATACAACCTGGTGAATGTAATTAATGTCACTGAATTGTACGTATAAAAGATGTTGAAATGGCAAATGTTTTGTTACATATGATTTTACACAATAAAAAAAGAATTATTTAAAAGAAAAAAAAAGTACATGGGTTGAATAAATTTAATTAAATAAATTTATCCAGTCAATACCTGTGCAGCTGCTCATAAATGAAGTAGCTATGATTGTATCTATGACATAGTAAGTGAAAAAGCAGTATATATAGTCCCATATTTCTACAATGCATAGATACAGATATGCATACATTTGTAAATATATAGACAGAGTGAAAAAATATATATAAGCTGTTACGTATAAAGTCTACAGAATGGTATTTGGGGGACAAAGGAGGGCTTTTACTTTTCCATTGGTTGGATTTTTTACAGCAAAAATGTATTATTTTCCTAAGTTTTTAAAGCTAACATAAAAGGAAAAAAGAAACAGAGCTTCAAACCAGTTGTTCAGGGTTCTAACCCGTGCGGAGAATTTGCAGTTCTAATAAGTTCCCAGGTGATGCTAATCCTGCTGGTTAGGGACCAATTCTGAGAACTACTGGTAGAGGTAGAGCAGTGGTTCTCAAAATTTATTGTGCATAAGAATCACCTGGGCCTTCCCCTAGAGCCGGCGCTCTGAATTCAGACTTCTAGCCTCCTAAACTGGAAGAAAATAAATTTGTTTGTTAAAGCCAGGGGAAAAAAAAACACCTGGGGATCTTGTTAGAATGTCGATTCTGATTCAGTGTATCTGGGGTGGAAATGCAAATTCTCAGCAGGGTTTCGAACTGGAACAAACTGGTTTGAAGCCCTGAAAAAGAAAACATCATCTGCTAAAACAAGAGTGTGGGAGACATTAGAATGACCAGCTGTCTGACACCTTACCTTCTCAGAGGTAGATTCTTGGCATAGGTTTTGCTGACAAAATCTGTTAATTGAAATTTGGGACAAGATGCTCCGTCTTTATCACAGTCTTCGAAGTGCACAGAGAGAAACTGTTCACTCAAAAGATGCAGCACACGTGGGTGGGACATTTCTTTTGCTGTGCAGATGTTTAGGGCTGCATAGAATACTCCCTCCAGCCACTTGGTATTGAGGGTTATTCCCCCTATACATCAATGAAAAAGTAAATACTAGTTAGCGCCATTACAAATGACTTGCAGGAAACTGAGGACAGATCCCAGAGATTGAAGATCTACTTTTTTTCCAAGACAAATTGGTAATCTGAAGCTCAAGATAAGTAAACACTCCTCCTTCCTAGGCCAACAGGTCTATTTCTGCTTTTTATAACACATCAGAAGTGTTGACCATACCCCAGGAGGACAGATATGACTAATGCAGACATTGCTAATGGTAGAGGTTCTCTAGAGCGGTTCTTGCCATAAGGAGAAGGAACTGGGGAAAACTGTGCAAGGTTAGAACGGGGAAGAGGCATTTTCATCCCAGACACTGATCCTTCTCGGGGTTAGTTAAAATATGTTTACTGCCTCTGGTTTTCCTGTTCTCCTTCTCGTGTGCCGTCACGTCAATTGCAACTCATAGTGACCCTGTAGAGCAGAGCAGAACTGCCCCACAGGGTTTCCAAGGCCGTAATCTTTATGAGAGCAGACTGCCACATCTTTCTTCCAGTGCGGCTGCTGAGTTTGAACCACCGACCTTTCGATTAGCAGCCGACTGCTTTAACCACTGCACCACCAGTGTTCCTTGGTCATCCTTAAAGGGTCCAAATAATCAGGCTTCTCAGCTCTCCCTAATAAAGGATGCTTTTTACCACCAAATACTGTTCTCACACAAAACCTAAATAGCTGAGAATGTACCCAACTCTTCTTTCTCCCCTCTTTCCCCCACCACACACAGTAGGATTTGATAGCATAGCAACAGGCTGAGGGGAAAGTAATTTTCGAAAGAGTGCAAGAAATATGGTGGACCATTACCAGCAGGACTGTAGGGGCAGGTAGCCCGAATAATCACAGGATCTTGGAGAGCAGCTGTGATTTCCTTATTAGCCCCCCAGATGTTAACAAATTTATCAGCACACTGATACTGAGGCCGTAAGATATTGGTGTGGTTCAGCAGTAATTTCAGCCTGGAAGTAAAACCACCAAGACGGGTGCAGTGTCAGGACTGGAAGAAACAACAGCACAACCCACTGGGTTCACATCCAACCCCAGCAACAGACCCTGCAGCACAGTACTGCTCAGGGGCAAACACAGATCTGTGCTGAGGGCACTGCTTATTAGCTGGATTGTTCATCCCTTCACCTAACAAACCCTTCACCTAACAAACACATACTGAATGTTTTGTGCCAGGCCTAGGTTAGACACTATGGTTGTGAGTTGCTGTCGACTCAATTTCGACTCATGACAACTTGGGGTACAAAAATAGTATCTGATCCCTGCTGTCAGTAACTTTTCACGTTGTTCACTCGTGGTTTCCCTTCTTGATGCACAGGGAAATACTAGTCGGCTTCAAGTAGTGGGAAGCAGTGTTTTAAACATTTACACATCAAAGAAAGTGTTCCACCCACAAGTGCTACGGTTGTTTAGTGTATGGTTTTACTTACAATTTGTGGAGAAGTGGGGAATACACAATTAGAAAGGCTACCTGGGTCCTACAGAGAAAGCTGCTTCTACCTTATTGGGAATGACCAACCCCAAGAGGAAGGGCTAGGGGGAGATAAGAGGGAGACATGGAGAAGCTAGAGATAAGGAGACAGTGATTCTACCAGTCTGCCCTCACTCTAGCGAGATACCTGGGTACTGGGATGGCAGCTACAAAGCTGTACACGATGCAGGTTTTCTCAAGGCTGCTTTGAATTTCTAAGCAGATATTAGGCAGTTGAGATGGCAGGCAGCAGAGGAATACCACGTTGGCCCAATTTACTAGATAAGCGTTCTGGTAAAAGCACTGGATTCCTAGTTTCTGGAGCTCATCTGGGAGAGAAAGGAAGACAGAAAGAGAACTGGGCAAAGGAATTGAATTGAACATCAGTTATGGAGAAAGGATGATCATTATTTTATCTCAGTAAATCAACCCAAGTCTTGTACCTACATAAATCAGAAGACATTCCCGTATGTCTTCTAAAAGCCATGCAGAAGTGCCCTAGTCCCATTATTAAAGCAGCTGGTGCCACTGCAGCAGTGCTTGAGATTATAAAATAAGTCACGCTTATTATACTTTTAGACCAAACGCTGGACTTTTTCAGATTTTTTTTTTTTTTTTTTTTAAGGAAGAAGAAATTTCAAAGGAGCTTTCTGTTCCAATTTATTGAAGGTTTATCACGTGCCAGATAATGTACCTATGTTCTCTACGGTAATCCTCACAAGAACCTTAGGAGGCAGAGACTAGTAGTATTCCCGTATTATAGATGAGGCTTTGAGAAGTTATGTGACTTCCCCAAAGTTATACAACTAACTGGCTTCAGTTGGTGGGGAAGGCTGAGTGAGTGGAAAAGAATAGGGCAGATGCTGAGAGAAATTTGGGAAGATATACTTGATATACTTACAGTTTCAGTAACATATACAGTTTAATGTCAACAGGATATTTATACATGTAGAGAGAAATGTGATAACTCATATAGTTGTATAAAAACACTCATTGGTAGTTAATCATTTGTACTTACTGCAATATGGAGTTTCAAAAGTAAATATTGAAAATGTAAACTCATATTGGGTAGTATGTTTTAAGTGTTACTGGAAAACAACATTACAGACATTGAAGAGGTGAATTCTTATTTAAGCACCAAGATGCATGATAAATTTGATGCAGTTTATCTGGATACCTATAAACCTGAAAGACGGATAGGACAAAGAGGAGGTTTAGAAAACATACATGTATGTCATTCTTTAATGTGGTGTTCTCAAAAGTGCACAGAACTTGATGTTGGGCATTCTGAATTCTTGCTTCCTTAGACAACACCCAGTGATATTCAAATACTGTAATTTTAATTATTAAAAACATATTGCTTTGCAAAGACTTTGCATTTTATTGAAATAAATATATGAGTCAGAGTCAACTCAGTGGTAACTGGCACTGGTTTATTGTTGGGATTAAAAAATTTGCCTTGAGTGGTGAGATTTTTAAAAAATCCATAATATAGAAAGGAGCCCTGGTGGCACAGTGGTTAACAGCTGTGGTTGCTAACCAAAAGGTCAACAGTTCAAATCCACCAGCTACTGCTTGGAAACCCTATGGGGCAGTTCTCCTTTGTCCTGTAGGGTTACTATGAATTGGAATCGACTCAATGGCAATGGATTTGTTTGTTGTTGTTGTTTTTGTTTGACGTAGAAAAAACATTTACAAATCCCTAAGAAAAATACAGACACTCCCACAGAAAAACTGGGCAAGAGCAACTTAAAAAACATGAAATAGCTATAACCCTATGAAAAAAATATTCAAATTAATGTTAAAATGGTGATTTTAAAAATGTTTTCCAGAATTGGCAAGGATGTAGTGAAATGGGTGTTTTTGCATAGTACTGGTGAAAATTTACACTGAACAACTTTTTTGGGGGGTCAGTTTGAAAATTAAATTGGAAGTTTCTTTGAAAATTAAACATACACCTACCTACCACATGATCTAGCCATTTCACTTCTAGGTATTTACCCAAGAGAAATGAAAACACATATCCACACAAACACTTGTACACAAATGTTCATAGCAGCTTTATTTGTAATAGCCCAAAACTGGAAACAACCTGACCATCAACAGATGAATGGATACACAAACTGTGGAATACTGATACATAAATAACATGGATAAATCTCCAAGGTTAGGCAGCTGGAGAAGAATCTTATTTCAAAGAATCCGAATGACTTAACCTTTTTATTTTGGAGGATAACTTTGGCAGATGGAGTGTCTTCCTACCTCTTCTAACCACAATTGTGAGGGTGGCACAGGATCGGGCAGCATTTCGTTGTGTTGTACACAGGGTCACTATAAGTTAGAACCGACCTGATGGCACCTAACAACAACAACATGTCCATACTCTGGAATACTATATAAACTTAAAATCATGATTTTGAAGAGGGTTAAATGATATGGAAATATGCTCATTATACATTAAATGAAAAAAGAACGTAAGTAACTATGTACTATATATATTGTATCAATTACTGATATAATACAGAAAAAATGAGAAAGAAATTATAACCCTAGTAAGAGGATTGTACGTAGTTATCATTTTCTTCCCTATAGAGTACTTGTAGGTACGCAATGGAAGTATAATTTATATGCAGTGAAAAACACAGATTTGAAATATACAGTGTGATCAATTTCGACAAATGCACACACCCATGTAACCCATAGCTCTTTAAAGATAAAGAACATTTCTAGCTCCCCAGAAAGTTCCCTTGGGCCCCTTCTCATTCAGTTTGCCTGGAAGCAAACATTGTTCTGATTTCTATCACCATAAACTAGTAAATGGAATCATTACAAAACTTTTTTTTCTTTTTTTAGCAAGTGTTATTTTTAAAAACAAGGCTGGATGCTTGAACTGTTTAACAGTCAAGTTAGGAGATTTAACTCTCTTTGGGAAGTTTCCCTGAATCAAAGACCCAGAAAGATTTTTCACCACTGAGGGCACAGGGAGAAGGAATGGATATAAAATATCCATAAATAAAATAAATATCCATAAATAAAACATTTAAGAGGAGAAGGAAATTGCTTTAAGGAATAAGCTAAAAAAAAAAAAAAAGATGTCTTTTGGACATCTGGGAATATGGAAGAGTAGGAAGCTCCAGGAATCAGTCCCTCCAACGAAACAACTATTGAACTGGCAGGAACTGTCTGAATCAACTACTTTGGACCTGGAGTCTAGTCAAACACTTGCAGCATCCAGGGGAGAGACTGATGAAGACACTGGTAAATTTTGGTGAATTTCACTGTTTAGCATAGTGGCTGCCATCCCCCACCCCCTCAAAAAGTTAAGCATAGAACTACCATATGATCCAGCAATTCCACTCCTAGGTATATACCCAAAAGACTTGAAAGCAGGGACTCAAACAGATACTTGTACACCAATGTTCGTTGCAGCATTATTCACGATAGCCAAAAGGTACAAACAACCCAAGTGTTCATCAATAGATGAATGGATAAACAAAATGTGGTACATACATACAATGGAATATTATTCAGCCATAAAGAGAAATGAAATTCTAATACATGCTACAACACTGAACCTTGAAAACACTGTACTAAGTGGAATAAGCCAGACACAAAAAGATTGTATGATTCTACTTATATGAGGTATCTAGAATAGACAAATTCATAGAGGCAGAAAGTAGATTAGTGGTTACTAGGGGTTGTAGGGGGAGGGAGAATGAGGAGTTATTGTTTAATAGGAACAGAGTTTCCATTTGGGATGAAGAAAAAGTTCTGGACATAGATAATGGTGATGGATACACAACATTGTGAATGCACTTATTGCCACTGAATGGTTAAATTTTATGTATGTTTTACCATAATCATAATTTTCAAAAGCCATCTTTCTAGTTTTTCTCAGGGCCAGCAAGCCATAGAGACCTCCCCATGCTGCACATAAGGATTCCTTCTTTCAAGGGACCCTTTCAAAAAGCTTTGTCAAGACCTAACCAGCCCACTTTCTACCACACACTGCTCCTCACCCAGGACCTCTGGCCTTCGCGTGGAGATCCGCAGGCTCTCAGTGGGGATGGGGACAAGCTGAAGCAGTACTCGAGCCAGCTGCTTCCCAAGGTGGCCACCTCCAATGATGCCCACATTAAGCTTCTCACAGGCGACAGGTGATCCAGTTGAGACACATTCAGAGGTTTGATTCTCATGTAATGATTGTCTGGAGAATGAACAGTCACATTTATAAATACATGCACACCCTGTAGCTCTTCTTGAGTATTCTAACGTTCTCTGCTTTAACCTCCTCATAAGGTATTCTGTTATATGCCATTTACCCAGCATCCTAGGGAATGAAATGCTTTTCTGGTGAGTTTTTCAGAAACTGAAGCACACCCTCTCAAGGGATCAAAACTTGTTTAAAACATTTGTAAATGAATGTTTATTGTGACATGTATTATGCATTTCCCTGCCTTCTTAAACACAAGATCTGAATGTTTAATAATTTCTTTAACTCAGGACCATCAGTATGAACAGCCATTGTTATATATCATACTAAAATGCAGGACACATTGTTGGCCAGTTCCTTCATGTTTTGTTTTCTGTGCAGACAGCTGTCCGTTTTCATTGCTGTCAAGATGAGCACACCCCTCTCCTACTATACACCTACACTTTCTGGTTTGCTATTTCAGTTCTGCACAGACTCAGAAACCAGATAGCTTTGCTTTTGAAGAACATCATGATTTATTACAGTAAATGCTTTATGAGAGAAAACAGACCTGAGAAACTCAGGGTGAAGGTTTGGAGACCACTCATTCCAGGGGTGCATTTACTGTTGGTTCTGGATGTGTTTCCTTGGCCCAGAATTAACAAAGTCTGACCTCTGAATACAAGCACATTATTTTATGTTGTTGTAAGACAAACTTATGTTTGTTCTGTATTTCTATAAAAATTAGAGTCTTAAAGCTCTGGCGTTTCCTGAAAAGCATCACAAGCCACATTCTATTTAAGGCTTCTCTCCTGGTTGAAAGGAGAGACTTTTCTCTCAGTGTCTGATCCTTTCAAATATGAAATGCCTCCTGGAAGTTTCATATACCGGTTTCTCACCACTCATCTTGGGTGTAACAAATAGGTTTATGCATCCTTCTCAGTCAGGCAATCAGCAAACTCACCGAGCAGTCTGCCTTCCTGGGTATATGCTGTTATCGATAGCATATTAAATTCAGATCTGGTCCCATCATCCAAGAATCAATCTAATTTCAGAGAAAAGTAATCTGAGAAATAGAGTGAGGAGGTGGCTCATACTTTAGGAGTGACCCAGTTACTTGTACAGAGATATCAGAAGCCAGCAAATCAATATTCCTGGTCTCAAACAAGTCAACTAATCATAGGACCCCCTCAGATCCCAGGTGGCTTTCCTGTGAGGGAGCATTTCATTATGAGTGCAGCCCCAAAAGAAAGAACCAATCCCATTTTCAGCAGTAGCCAGGAATGGCTAATGATTAGCAGCTGTGGAAGACAAGCTGGTGGTTCCAGTGAATGGATCGATCATTTAATCAGTCCACCCACTGCATGGAAATCACCACCAATCCATGGCTTTTTTATGTAACCACATCCAAGGACTCTGGTATGGAGTTTTCTGGTTCCTTCGGATCAAAACTGATTGTGGTTAGAAGAGGTAGGAAGACACTCCATCTGCCAAAGTTATCCTCCAAAATAAAAAGGTTAAGTCATTTGGATTCTCTGAAATAAGATTCTTTTCCAGCTGCCTAACCTTGGAGACCTAGGTTACCTCAAAATACGGAATAGCTTGCAGAAGAAGGTTGCATGGGCACAGGCCTCGATCATCAGTCCCCGAGAACGGCCCTGCAAGAACAGCCAGGTATGCTCTTCCTCTGGAATTCCATACTCAAACTGCAGAGTCTGAAGGTCCTCTAGCATGTCCATTTCCAAGTGACCATCTCCTGCAGAGACAGATACCAGTTTGGCCCTGTTATGGGAGAAGAGGGTGTCTACAAAGCAGGGTGTATATGTGTTGGGGTGTGTGTGCCCAGGTCAAAAGCACTCATGATGGTGGGCTTCAGCACCTCTCTCCTCCTAGATTCTGAGTCTGGAGATCTAATCCACTTCTCTGCATGAGTGTGGGTCCTGGAGGATTTCTAAATCACTGCCCATGAACCCAGGAATGCAATGGGTTCCTGTAAAACTTGAACAGCAATCCAAAGTAATGTTCTTCCACACAGGCTGCAGGTGTTGATTTGACCAGATGAATTTACATCAGCAATGGGCTTCACAGGTGCTCTTGGGCCAGGACTTTCTCCCCTCCATTCCCTCCCAAGTTTTAGAAATAGGATTGACCAATTAGATGACATTTCAAAGAAGTTCTTCCCTTTCATTAAACTCTAGGTTCTCTACGAAGTAGAAAACAGCCCAAACTAAACATCACTGGTGCCCTGTGTAGGACAGGAATATCTAGATTTTGGAAAGTAAACACAGATGTATGAACCCATTTACATCTCACCTCCCAAATGGAGAAGATCAGCTCTACTCCCCAGTGCTTATGGTCCTGGAGGTAAGCACTGCATTTCCAAGGAGAATTACCCAAGAAAGTTGTCATTGTGACTCCTTAGCTACCAGATTACTTCAGCCTTTGAATCTTAAAGGGGCCAGCCCCACCTAGAGGTTTTCCCATCCTGCAACAGAGGACACAAATTCCTTTCACTACGTCTAGTACAACCAAGGGAGTGTGTTGTTGTTGTTGTGTTAGGTGCCGTCAAGTCCATTCAGACTCATTGTGACCCTAAGAGGATAGAGCAGAACTGCCCCATAGAGTTTCCAAGGAGCGGCTGGTGGATTCAAACTGTTGACTTTTTGGTTAGCAGCCGAGCTCTTAACCACTGTGCCACCAGAGCTCCAAGGGAGTATGGGACCCTCCTTTTCCCAACAGAATGTTCTGGATTTCTAGATTTTTTTGCAGATTGGAGTATCATACAGATCTTAGCACTATTCAGGGAGTTAATTTTCCAACCCTTTCTTTCTTTAAGAGATCAATGATATCCAAAACCCTAATCTATCTTATAGCAACGGTCAGATTTAAGGTAGAATTCAAAGCTACTCAAATCTCTAATCCCTTTTATAGGAGGGCTGTATGTCACACTCAATCTCTTTAAAAGCAAAGACTTGAAGTGAGGAGCATGAAAGTTCTCCTCAAGTCTAAGACACACTTCCTTATGCCAAAACAGTGGGTAGGTCTTCCTAATGTTGCAAGTGATATTCCCTGCTCCGGAGGAAACAGGAGCTCAAAACCTCCCAGGTCAGCATGACCAATGTAGCACCCAATAACTTATATAAAGATGGATACTAGGCTTACCCTTCATTTGTACCTTCTCAAAGATAGAATTCAGTTGTTGTGGCTTAGCCTGAACTACATTTTCCAGAATTCTCTTCCCTGTATGTTTCTGGTTAGTATGGGTCACAAGAGATATTTTTGTGCCAGATTTGGAGCATGGAAGTGAAACAGCAGCCATTTTGTGCTTATGCCTGCAAGGTCAGGGGCAGGCACTTTTGTAGTTCACATACTTTGTCACTTATCTGCTCACTACCTTGTTGGCTTGGGGTAGCACCTGGGCCTGCAACTACTACACCTTCCCCTGGGTCCTCCTTCAGCTTCTCACACTTCTAGGCAGGTGTGTGTTTACCTTTGTGACAAAGGGCACCAGCTTCTTCTGCAGGACACCTGCAAGTTGGAAGCAGTGTGAGCTGATAGATCCCAGTACATCTTCGTGGGTTCCAGCTGGTCCTTAGTCTTCCTCACTTTACATCCATCTTCACTTCCTGACTGCCTGCCCTGTGGACTTCGAGCTCCACCATCAGACATGAAGACAACTTTACAGATTGTTTAACCAATTCCCATACTTAAGTAAGATCATATCCCTGTAACAAATCTCACATACAGATTAGATAGCAAAAAAAAACAAACCCATTGCTGTCAAGTTGATTCCAACTCATAGCGACCCTATAGGACAGGGTAGAACTGCTTCACAAGGCTGAAATCTTTATGGAAGCAGACTGCCGCATCTTCCACAGAGAAAGATGGTTAGCAGCCAAGAACTTAACCACTGCACCACCGGGGCTCTTTAGATTAGATATATATGTATATATACTCCTAGTGGTTCTGCTATCTGAAAGAACCCTAATACACTAATTAGAAAAGTTACCATTGTTTGTTTGGAAATCAGTAACTTTAGCACAATTCAGCAAATTAAACTAGTTTCTTTAACAGCAAGAGAGTCAGGAAAGAAACCAAATGAGATTTACCTGAAATTGCAAAGGGGATTGCAAAATGAAGGAGCAAAAGATGTAGTCTAATCCCCTTAAAAAAGGATTTTTTCACCTAAGCACTATTGACATTTTGACCTGGTTAGTTCTTGTTGTGGGGATTGCCCTTGTACTATAGGATATTTAGCAGCATCCCCAGCCTCTACCCACTAGATGCCAGTAGCACTACCTAGCTGTGACAACCAAGAGTGTCTCCGAACACTGCCAGATGTCTCTGGTGGGGAGGGGGTGCAAAGTCACCCCCGGCTGAAAACCACACTGCCTTAAAGCATGCTGAGTACCTCGATATCATCATCTCCTCTTTTTCTACCACTTCACCCATTCCACACAGCCAAAGGATCACAGAACTCTACAAGTTTAGAAATTACCATGCTCTTATATTACAGATTAAGATGATGAGTCCAGAGAAGTAAAAGGGCTCACCCAGGATCACATAGCTTGTTAGTGATACAGCTGGAACTAGAAGCCAGGTGTTTTGTCTCCCAGCTCAGTGCTCTTTCGATTAGCCACACTGTCCTGCTTTCCCACAAGCACCATTACTCCTTAACCTGACACGTGTTGACAGGCTGTTGAATACGGACACTGAAGTAGACTTCTTGTTGTCCCATTGTTCTACACAAAAAACCTGGGAGGAAAAGAGATGGCACCAAGAAGGAAAGAGTTTTATTAGGAGTCTTGGCATGTCCAGGAAACCCAGTTCAGTCACAGAGAAGGGAGGCTAATATTGGTACAGGGCAAAAAGTCAGCATTACAGAATATCTTGTCAAAAACCAAACATGAAAACAAAACCTCCATCTTAATATCCTGAAGGTCAGACATGTAGCCCAGGTGAAACTTCGGGAGGCACCTGGTAAAATAATGAGATTTTGCATAAAGGGAGAGTTCTCCAGCACTGCTGAATCCAAGCTCCATATAAGGTTGTGGGTCTGGGGTGGGAGAGGTAAAGGAAAAGGCAGTTGGTCTCATCACCTACTCAAGGTCATCTCAGTGTATAGGTGAGAAAGGAACCATATGTTTTTCATTACGGGGTAGGCTGGGACAGCAGAGGTGCACTGACTGTAGAAACACAATGTATGGGCCATCTTTGTCATAATGAGGAGGCCTATGTGCAGTGTGGTGCAAGTTGGTCTCCAGCAAGTCCTGGGCAACACTGGCTCCTTCCTGAGGCCCCTGGATACTGCCATTTTAGAGCAGAACTGCCAATGTCCAGCATCAAGTCCAGGGTCACAACTAGCTGAGAAAAATGGAGTGGCCACCCTATGATGCCCGGTACCTGTCAGTTTAGGAGACCTCCTTTCTGGAGTAAGACACTTTTCCCAGACCAAGAGAGATCTTGCCCAATATGGGCCCAATCTAGAATTCTCTCCCTCCTTCACATGAGCACCAGGTGGAGAGAGTCTTTCTCAGGAACAATCAAAGCTTTTGATCTTGGCCCCTAGATAATGGCCCTTGGACTTCAGGTCAGTCTGAAGCTGTCTGTGCCCAGGTATGGGTTTTTGTCCCAAGAATATTAGGCACTGTCTGTTGATGATGGGCCCAAGCGAGGTGATGCGGTGACTCTCCCAAAGAGCTCTCTCTTCTTTCACAGGCAGAAAAGGAAGAAATGAGGCCAGTTTCAGGGTAGCTAATGCCACTTAATTCTTCCATCGAATATGCTGTGGAAAGTGCAAAGGGGTGTCAGTTTTCACTGATCTTTACAGAGAGGTGGACGGAATACAACTTAAAAAGGCTCACAGCTAGGTAATGTAAGAAAGGAGGTTAAGAAAATGGTTTTTAATGTGTATAGGGGGGTGTCATTTATTTAAAAATGTATTAAACACCTATTCAGTATCTTACAAGCCTGATTTAGGGCCTTCCCCCCCACCCCAGTTCTGCCCTCCTTAGGACCAAGCTTAACTAGCTTTAGATGACCCCAGGGTAGGTCTCAGAATACCTAATAGGGAACTAAGCTTCATATTAACCAAGGGCTCAGCTCTTTCATGCTATGAACCAGCTGAGCTCCCTAAATAGCTAAAGTCTATTTCACCCACTTCTTATTTCCAGCAGGTAGGTCATATCCATTCAAAGGAGACTATAGTCGATAGTTTGAAACGATAACATTTGCTTTTATACTTCCAATAGTTAGCCCCTCCTACCTGCTAGGTTTAACAATTATCTAAGCATTGCAGTTTAGTCTCAGCTGGAGGCCTCCAGATTACCCTTAAATCATTCCACATCTCAAGAGTAATTTCTGCTGTTCAAAGCAGTGATTTGACCCTTGGGCCACAGGACAGTTTATACCCATGTGGCTCAGCTAACTGCAACACCATCCAGGCCCTGGAAACATACACTTGATGCTACTCTGTGAACTGTCTCCTGAGACTGATGGAGGGAGAAGCTGTAGCTACTCACCAAGTTGTTGAGAGTGGCATCGATCTTTTCCTCCTCTGCAGATCCTTTATCTACCTTACTCCTGTATGCTACCAACTGCTGACGATCCTTCAGGTCCCGGCAGGTCTGTTCACCAAAACAAACAATACCAAACCTTCAATCGGCCTTCTCTACGAGGGGCTTTTTCTTTTTGTCACTACCATTTTCACCAAGGTCCCAGGGAAGGCCGAGAAACTACAGTGGGATGACAGTGGGGTCAAGCACCCACAGATCTTCATGTTGGAGACAAATCAGTAGAACTTATTTGGCTTGATTCAGTTCTACAAATTCTCTAAGTGTGACAAATTTATAAAAGCAGAGAGAAACCACTCAAAGGGCTGAAAGTATAATTCTAGTATACTGGTCTTCAAACTAACTCTTGCCAGATCATTTTGTCTGTTAAATCAGAATTTATGGAAGCATCTCAGGATCTAGGACAGAGGATATAGTAATCCCCTACTCTATACTGAGGGTCTAACTCAGGGTCTCATTTCCTGGGGACTCACATCAATGACGACATCATGGCACTTGAACTTAGTGGCCAAGTTCAACTTTATGTCTACGTCTTCCACCAGATTGATATACTCCTGTAATATCTGTGGGAAGAGGTACTCTTGATTAATGATTCCCAGGCCCATAAAACACAGAGCTCTAAAGGCAAAAAAAAATTCTGAAGGCAAAAGAGGTCAGTATCCAACATCTACAATTCCATTCATCAACCAAACTTTTCTCAGATCAAGATGCAATTAAAAAGTAGACAAAGGACTTGAATAGGTATTTTTCCAAAGCAGATATACAAATAGCCAATAAGCACATAAAAAGGTGCTCAAAGGCAGTAGTCATTAGAGAAATGCAAATCAAAACCACAACAAGATACCACTTCACACCCACTAGGATGGCTATTAAAAGAAAATAACAAGTGTTGGCAAGAATGTGGAGAAACTGGAACTCTGGTGTATTGCTGATGTTAATGTAAAATGGTACAGCTGTTGTAGAAACAGTTTGGTGGTTCCCAAAAAGTTAAACATATAACTGCAATATGACCCAGCAATTCCACTCCTAGAGACCCAAGAGACCTGAAAACAGGGACTCAAACAGATACTTGTAATGAATGTTCATTGCAGCATTATTCACAATAGCCAAAAGGTAGAAGCAACCCAAGTGTCCATTAACAGATGAAAGAATAAACAAAAAGTGGTATATCCATACAATGGGATATTATTCAGACATAAAGGAAAATGAAGTTCTGATACATGCTACAACATGAACAAACCTTGAAAACACTTTGCTGAGTGAAAAAAGCCAGACATAAAAGGACAAGTATTGTATGATCCCACTTATAAGAAATACCTAGGATGACGCAAATGCAAAGAGACAGAAGTTTATTAGTGGTTGCCAGGGGCTGGGGTAACGGGCTTATGGGGCATTATTGCTTAAGGGGTACTGAGTTTGAGGTGATGAAAAACTTGAAAATAGACAGTGGTGATGATTACACAACATGAATGTAACTAATGTCACTGAGCTGCACACTTAAAAATGGCTTTTTTTTTGTTACATATATATTTTACCATAATAAAAATTAAAAAAAAAAAAAAGATACAATGGGAAATGAGATGGACCCTATGCAGTACTATGGAGCGACACAAGAGATGCACACATTCCTCCTTATCCTATAGCCAGATATCCATGCCAGCAATGGGAATGCTCTAGAGCTGATCCAGTGCCACACTCATAGCTCCTTTGTGTCCTTTCTCAGTGAGTGCTCCTTTTGTATCATTTAAACAGTACATCAGTATTCCACATAGGCTAAATACAGAAGATGCTCCTTGGAGAGGGCAGTTTGGGATTACCTCTAAAGGGCAGAGTAGAACTTCCTTCCCTTCCTGGTCTTTTCTATCTCAAGGCCCAGCACACCCATTATGTTGCCTTTGAGTCAAAACCAGAACAGGTCAGGTCTCCCATCACTGACTGGTAAGAGGCTAAAAGTCAGGGTCTCCTACAGTATCCTACCTCCACCTCTCTTTAGGAGCCATTACCTGGACAGGGGCACTGTTCTTGTGCAAAATTTCCACAACCCGATGGAAGCCAATGGGTGCTCTCTTCTTGGTGTAGCCTAGCCAGTTCTGAAAAAGGAACACGGGGCAGCAGTAACTAGGCAAGATATATTCAACAAACTCAGAAGTAGTCACCCTATGTTTTATGGTCAGATCAGAATAACATCATGGTGAGGGCAGGGGTTGGAGAATAGAGAAATGAAGAGAGATGAGTTTTTCAGAGAAGTCAAGGAACTTGAAAGAGTAGAAAAGAGTCAGAGGTATGAAATAAATTATTGGATCTATAAACAATAATGCAGAAAAAAGTCTGTGAGATACTGCTAAATGGAATAAGTACTTAACAATATTTCTAGTGTAAGCTAATCTGAGCAGAAAAACGCTATTCTCTATATCGTTATATATATTATATGTTAATTGTAAATTCATGAGAAAAGGTCTGGAAGCTACCTACCAAACTTTGTACGGCATTTGTCTTGAGGAAAGACGTGAGATGGCAGCAGATGGATAATGAAAGAACTTCACTCTCTACATGCTTTTGTAGAGTGTTTGATGTTGACACAGGCATGTATTGTTTTGGTAATTAATGTAACTAATTAAATAATAAGAAAGAAAAAAAGAATATTCTCAAACCCATAATGGGGGCGGGGGGAAGGCATGCATGTGTATATACAGAGAGAAAGCAAAGATGGCAAAAATGCCAACAAATTGGTGAAGTAGTTAAAGAGTATATTGTTGTAGTTGTTTAGGTGCCACTGAGTTGATTCCGACTCATAACGACCCTATATGACAGAGCAGAACTGCCCCATAGGGTTTCCTAGGCTGTAATCTTTACAGGAACAAATTGCCAGGGCTTTTCTTCCTCAGAACTGCTGGGTGGGTTCAAACCATCCACCTTTCTGTTAGCAGCCTGCCACTTAACCATTGTGCTACCAGGGCTCACTAAAGAGTATATTAGTGTTCATTATATTATTCTTTTAACTTTTCTGTAAGTTTGAAATTTTGGAATATAAAAAGTTGGAGGAAAAATGTAAACCAGTAACTAGAACTTGATTCTCGCATGAGGCCACTGAATAAAAGGATGATTAATGACCCTTTTCTTTCTTCCCAGGCATCCCAGTTCCAGGGCACCCACCTTTGTGGTAAAGAGGGCATCTACATCATGCCAGGCGCGAAGCTTGGCACGAGCAGCCAGGGCTGTCAGCACATACTGTTTGTCTGGGATCTAGAATGTGGAAAACAGAAATGAGTGGGGAAGGTAGGTGCTTGAGAATTCCGGAAAAAGATGGACAAAAACATTGCCTGGTATTGATTCTGCCCCTTTAAACAATACATTTCTTAGGTGACGAAGAACCCCTTAATTCCTAAGTCCAAGCACTGCTGTAGGCATTCAGCTAAAGTCTTCTCTCATTTCCCACAAGCTCATTCCTTTCTGCCTTTAACCTTGAATATCAAAGGACTTACTGTGCAGGGTTACAAAGCAACAGCCACTCCATGTAGTTACCCTGATAATACTTTTACCAAAACACTGACCGATTGATACCTACCTTAAACGTCTTCTTCAGGTTGACAGGACTGCTGAATGTCCCCTAGGATGAAAGCAGAGAGAAGGAATGTTAGTGTTACTGACTTTCCCAATCTCCTCCTTTCTTTTCCACTATCCAGATTTTCTACATCTCACACTATAACTATTTGAATCCAGCAATTAATTTAAGAGAAAGGCTCTACTGGGTCTAATCAGATATCGCCATAACCTAGCTAAAAGAGGACGGGGTTAGTAACTATGGTGCTTTCCCCAATTCTCTACCGATCCAAATAAGGGGAAAATATCCACTGAGCATCAAATCCAAACTTCTTAAAAATAAACAAAAAAAAAAACCCAAAACAAAACTTATCCACAGCTATCTGGCACTCTGCTGCTCCTCTTTTCTAACCCAGTTTTATTTTCTTCTCTACACTGTACCAATCCACCTGAAACTATGTCCCTCTGAACAGAGAATGCTATGGTAACCAGCACTAGAAAAAAAATATGCTATGCTAGCATGGCAGCTCACTTGAAGACATGCAAGCCCTTACACACCTTTTTCACTCTTGACTCGCCCCTGGTGAGGGCCAGGAAACCTTCCAGGTAGATTTTTGATAATTATACGCACTCATCGTTAATAGAGTACATAAAAATGCTGAATATGAACTATGTTCCTCCTGTGCAATGAGAATTTGTGGGGTCTACTTTCACATTCTGCCTGTACCTCAGCCTCCGTGTAGTGGTAGAAGCAGGAGTAGAAAAGCGTTGTCACTAGTGGCATGTTGAGGATGGAAGCTTTGCGGGGGTGCTTCCGGAAGATCTCAGTCTGTCCTGCTGATTCTAGATGTCGATCAGTTGCCTGTGGTGGAGTGAGCCATGCAAAAGAAAAAGAATGTCCATGAAGTAGAGGCAAGACAGAAACCTTTAATACTATAGCAGTTTTCTTTCCCTCCCAAAGAATCAGGCAAAGAAGAGAAAAAGAAAGAAATTGATTAGGATAGCCCAAAAAACTTACTGCCACTGAGTCAATTCTGACTCGTGGCGACCCTACAGAACTGCCCCATATGGCTTCTACAGCTGTAATCTTTACAGAATCCAGCTGCCACATCTTTCTCCTGTGGAGCAGCTGGTGGTTTTGAACAGCTGACCTTTCAGTTAGCAGCCAAGCGCTTAACCACTGTGCCACCAGGGTTCCTAGTAGGATAGCCCAGGGGAGTTTAAAATCCTAAGATGATGCTGGATCCAAGTTGGATGGAGAAAGTGGTTATGACACAGGAGATCTGGGATGAAGACGAAATACTTCCAGGTTAACAACATGTGAGAAGGAAAAAAATGCCTGAGAAAAATGGAGGTAAGAGAGCTATCATGTAAACAGAGAAAACGAAAGGCTCTGAGAGACTGTAACGGGAAATCACAATATACAGGCAGAGCATAGAGGTCTCCTAGATGCTGAATGGCACCGAGCGCTGGCATTGAAATAAAAAACATAGAGATGAGGATTCTAACCTCAATGATGATCTGACGCTCCAGGAGTGTATAATGGTCTTGTATGTGTGCAGAATCTTCTGCTGAAAATGGCAAACTGGTAGAGGGCCAGGTTAGTATCTCTTTCTCTACTCAAAGAGGAAACAAACCCAACTAAACCAAATCACCACTGAAAGCTTAAGAGGCTCTTGGTGCTTCACAAATCTGATCTCAATTTACCTTGAGAGCATCCCTGAATGGCAGGAAGAGAAGGCAGGAAATAGAGTAGACCTTTGGCTTGGATTTTGTATTTAAGATTTTGTCAATTTCAGAGGAATCCTGAAGGCTTATATGTGCTCAGTGACTTTGCTGAGGCATGATTTAGAGTTGTCTCTTCTGGGGAGCTGGAATTTTTGGTCAGAGTCACGTAGCTAGTGAGTAAGCCTACCCAACTGCCCATCATCCAGATCCCACTGAAGCTCTATGGTTCATGTCATTGCTTAAGAAGGAACTCTCTTTAAGGGACTCTGACATTTCTTAGGTATTTTTTATTGCAGAGTAATAAAGGTAAATGAAATGACATGGTATGGGCTACATTTGTAGACTGGCAAAGATCTCAAAGATCTACACAACTGTCAAGGGTCCCATCTTCAACACTATATTATGTTCTTACAAATGAAGAAGTTGAGGAACAAATAGTGTCTTACCTACAAGATATATGGTAAGTCAATGGGTAAGTCCAGTAACAGAAGTCAGATGTTAAACTTCCAGTTCATAGATCTATCCTTTAGTAAGTGTTGCCTTATTCCCTTGTTCCACTCACTCCAGGGAGAATCCTGAAATTCAACTATACTATCCTAGACAAGTACAACCCACAGCCAGTTTTTAGAAAAGATAAAGGGAGAAAATAATAGGTTCCAGTTACTTCGCTATTCTAACTTTCCTCTTTGTTTACCAGAGGCCACGTGATGTATCTCAGTATTTGGTAATGTTAGAATTGAGGATTTCATTAACATAGACAAATATCCAAATATGAAGCCTGGAAATTGTATCACATGAAGAATGACTGAAGTAACTGTGAACATTGAACTTGGAGAAGCAGGGTCTATTGGGTAGACTCTATAGCTGTCTTCTAATATTGACATGTAGAAGAGAAACTGGATTTGTTTCACATCAATCTAGAGGGTAGATAAAAGATGCAAGGAAGCAAGGTTCAGCTTAGTATAAGGAAGCACTTTCCATTAATGAAGGCTGTTGAATAATAAAAAAGAGCTGCTTTCAAGAGCAGTGAGCTCCTCATCACTGAAAGAATAATACATGGAGCTGGTTTTTATAGAGATTCATACTCTGGATACAAGCTTGCACTAGATCAGTGGTTCCTGGACTTTGAGATTTCAAGGACCAGTAGCACTGAAAAACATATACGGTCCATAAAGTATTGGCAAATTTTAAATTTACTATTACATAAGGTCATAAAAAAAATTATAACCCATTTTACTAGCAAGAAGGGAAGACGAAAACCCCAGAATAAAAGATAGTCTTTCAAATTAAATAAATAAATAAATTAGCTTTATAAAAAACAATGAAAACTCTGAGGACTAGTGTTTGGGAACACTAAATGAGACAACCTTTAATGATGCTTTATACTTCATTATTAGCCTTTCCCTTCAACTATCTATTCACTCCATCTTCCTTTATTCTGTCTATTCTTTCTATACACTTAAACCCATCTGTCCCCTATACTTACCCAACGCAAGTCTTAAGAAATTCTTTTCGTTTCTCAGGGTCCTGAATGTTCAAGTGCTCTCGATAATGGGATAGCTACAAAAAACAGAGAAGGGCTTTGAGCTATTTTGTCTCCTTAGAAGGGACTTTTCATGCTTAAAAACCAAATTCTTCAGTTTTAGAAATTGCTTCTGGGTAAGAATGGGTGTATGTGGATGTGGGTGAGGGGAGAGTGGGGAACAAAGAATGATTCAAAATCAGTACTAGGTCCATCTAAAACTGTGCTGTCCAATATGGTAGCCACTGGCTGCATGTGGCTGTTTAAATTTAATCAAATTAAATAAAATGAAAAATTCAGTTCTTTAGTTGCACTTGCTACTTTTCAAGTGCTTGCTAGCTACATGTGGCTAGTGGCTACCATACTGGACAGCACAGATGGAGAGTATTCCCATCATCACAGACAGGTCTGTTGGATGTGCTGATCTACAATGAAGCATGAATGACAGCACACAACAACGGGTAGATACAGCACCCAGCTTTACCCTGAAGTTTGGAAATGAATTAAAGGCAGACTAGCAGCTTTGCCACTTCCAAGTTTACAAGGCTGGAAAACTCCAAATTCAGATACACCAGCATCCATAACAAATTACCTTCAATTCAAGCACAATGAAGAATATGAGGAAAATTTAAAAGTTTTAGATAACAATGAGGTACCCACATGGTTTCAGGGGACATCAACTGGCATAACAAACTTTATTAAGAAAATGTTCTGCATCCTACTTTGGTGAGTGGTATCTGGGTCTTAAAAGCTGGCAAGCAGCCATCTAAGATGCATCAATTGGTCCCAACCACCTGAAGTAAAGGAGTATGAAGAACACCAAAGACACAAGGGAAGTATTAGCCCAAGAGACAGAAAGGGCCACACAGACCAGAGACTTCATCAGCCTGAGACCAGAAGAACTGGATGGTGCCCGGCTACCACAATGACTGCCCTGACAGGAAACACAACAGAGAGTCCCTGATGGAGAAGGGGAAGGGTGGGATGCAGAACTCAAATTCTAGTAAAAACACCAGACTTAATGGTCTGACTAAGACTGGAGGAACCCCAGAAAGCATGGCCCCCGGACTCTGTCAACCCAGAACTAAAAGAATTCCCGAGGCCAACTCTTCAGACAAAGATTGGACTGAAATGTGTGACATAAAATGATACTCGTGAAGAGTGTGCTCCTTAGCTCAAGTAAATACATGAAACTATATACGTAGCTTCTGTCCGGAGGTGAGATGAGAAGGCAGAGAGGGTTAGGAGATGGTTGAATGGACACGGGAAAACAGAGGTGTAAAGGAAGAGTGTGCTGTCACAATACAGGGAGAGCAATTAGGGTTACATAACAATGTATGTATAAATTTTTGTATGAGAGTCTGACTTGAATTGTACACTTGCACTTAAACTACAACAATAAAAAAAAATTTTTTAAAAATGAGGTACTCAAAACACATTCTCACTGATCAAACTTCAAAACAGCAAACTATATAAGAATGCTGTGTAAAGTCCACTTAGTTTTGAATCAATGGAGATTAAAAACTTAAACAAAAAGCTTTTGAAAAATAATTACTAAAGACAGCCAATCATTTTTAGTAGAGTAAGATAAAGGATTTTTGAGATTTTCTCACGCGTTGAATCTTAAGTGTAAGATCCTTTTTAGAAAACATTTTCCTGAGTTCTATTCTGCTATGCAAAGAAGGTTAACAGTATTACTAAATGTGCCAGCTGAATGTAAGCACCAATACCACATCACGAATGTGTGGGAGGCCACACGTGACAGCAGCCTGCCAGTGTGGTGCTGAGACATTCCTGTGCCTGCATGGTAATATCAGGCTTTAAAAATGGATCACTGAAGTTTGAATAATCCAATTAAAGTTTTGGTGAAATTTCAGATTTATTCTGTACTCCAGGAGTTCATTCTAGGATGGTGAAAATCTGCCAAAAATCAATTTTAGCACTTGGCCAAAATGTGTATCAGGTGCACCACCAGCCTGACCTATCTTCCTTCTTGACCTGTATCTTGTTTCTTAACCCTGGTGGCGTACTGATTAAGAATTTGGCTGCTAATCAAAAGGTCAGCAGTTCAAATCTACCAGGAGCTCCTTGGAAACCCTATAGGGCAGTTCTACTCTGTCCTAGAGGGTCACTATGAGTCAGAACTGACTCGATGGCAGTGGGTTGGGTTTGGTTTGGTTTATCCCTCTTAGTTTGCAACATTCTCTTTAGTAATAGAAGCCAGAACCCAAAAGCTCCTGCAAACCAGGAACTGAAAACAACTAGAAACTAAAAAACAAACTGATTAGGCCAGTATTCATTATTCAAAACAAAAAAAAAAAACTATGCATAAGCCTAATCAAAAGAGCACGTAAAACGAAACAAAATGCTGTTGTTGTTAGTTGCCGTCAAGTCGATTCTGACCCATGGCAACCCCACGTGTGCACAGTAGAACTGCTCCAAAGGATTTTCAAGGATGTGATCTTTGGAAGCAGATCACCAGGTCTGTCTTCCAGGGCACCTCTAGGTAGGTTCAAACCACCAACCTTCTGAACAGTAGTCGAGCATTTAACCATTGGCGCAACCCAAGGACTCCTTAAACAAAACATATTATCATTTGTATTAAGATTCCACGCTTCCCAGATGCCTCTCTCTTCTGAATATAATCAATCAAGGCCACACTTACCGCAAGCTCATCTGTTCTATCTAGGAACCTGAGAAGAAAAATAGGGAACAGGGCATTTTTATTTATGTGTGACAGTATAACCTCACAAAATAGGATCATTTCTCTAGAAGAAACACAATTCAAACTCATTTCCCTCCATAACCAAGATAAACCCTTCTCTTACTAAACTTCCTACCACCAGCAACCCCTTGAACAAACAAGATGGACCAGCTATCCTTGTCTCTCTGAGCGTTTCTGGCTAAGTGAAAAGCAAGGACAAGACGGCACTGCAGGGCACTAATAACTTTATAACGTTGGCAAGCCTGATAGAAAGGCTCAGGGCCTCCACAAAACCTGCTCTAGCCCACAGTAATCTTTGAAAGATTAAAGCACTCTTCTCTGTCAATGCAGATTTTCTATATTGTTCTCTGTTGTTTTCATGTACAGTGTACAATGCCTTTTATCTTCTCCAAAAGGTAGTAAGTCCTGGAGTACAAGGACTCCTGTCTTCTGATTCCTCCTTACTCTGAATGGACCAGATTGTTAACAGCACTGTCTTGGCACAGACGTGATGCCTGATAAAGGCCTACTGACTGGGAAAGGAGGGAGGCCAAGGTGGGGGAGAGAGGGAGGGAAATAAGAACACACCCTGCCTTGATGACCATGTCCTCTTTTGCAGATCCTGGATAACCATCTGTAATCTTGACCCTGCCCATGTGACCTGCTTTCCCCACCTGAGTCTTTGCGACAGCTCATCACTGTGCTGGAGTCACTAGGTAAAGTCTTACCTTGGGACACACTTCAGCCTAAACAGAGGCTCCACCCTTTCCCTGACATTGAAGAAAGAACATAACATACATACATTCTGGTATTCAGTCTTAAAGGGGCTGATTCACCCAAGGCAGCCAAACAATAAGAATGTCAGAGTCTAAAGAGCTCTGTCTAGTAATCCAGGGGCAGGAATTCATCCCCAGTGATTGTAAAGAAATAGGGAGAGAACACATGACAGGAGAGCCCCACCCGCACCCCCACCCCCACCCCACACACCAGCAGCAGGTATGCCTGCCCCTTACTTCTCTACCTGTCAGAATCCTATGTAGTCTCATGGGCCCAACTCAAATCCTAACTGCTTCCATGAGGCTTTCCTTGGGTATCCTGCCCTAAAATTTTATTTTCTTCCTTTGCTCTCGCACTGTACTTTTCACTGGCATCATGGGACTAAAAGATACCTTTATTCTAAGTCTTTTATAAGAAAATGCTTAATAAATGTTGATTATTAACACTACACGCTAGGCATTATGTTAAATGCTTTGCACACACTAACTCATTTGATTTTCATAACAACCCTGTGGGGTAGGTATCATCTCCATTTTACAGATGTGGAAACTGATGCTTAGAGAGGCTGGGTAATTTGCTCACGGTCACTCTATGAACTAAGTGGTGGTACAGTACTCAACCCAGGTGTGTTTGCTTCTAGAGCCTAGTTCTTAACCACCTGCTATGCTGTTACCTTATCACAGGCTGTTGTATATTGTTAGTCATCCCATCACATTTCAATAGCTTGTCTTTCAAGCTTTTCCAGAAAAAGGTCAGTATCTTCCATTTCTTTGAATCCCGCCACCCCTGAGTGCTTTGAACCAATTAAGTACCTAGTAAACTCTACAGACCATATGGTTCGTTCTCACCTGAAGAGGTCTAAAAGCAGCTTTTGATCCCCAATCTCCTTAAGGAAGTGAATGAGATGTCTCAGGGCAACCTGTCGCACCTCCAGCTCTCGGAAGAGAATCTCTGGCAGGCAGGAAGGAGGAGTTAAGCGGAGAACGCGTAAAGCCTATTACTCAAGTGTGCCACTGGTCTTCCTATTCACACAGTCCAAACATTATCTCCTCAAAGCCTAGCAGAAGCTAACAAAATGGCCTTTTATGGTACCCATCCCTATGGTTCAATCCACCACCAATACACGATGGTCCAAGGTAACTCTTAGCCACTGAGTCGGCTTTTCAGTTCTCACCAGCCCAAACAGCTGACACTTGGCATGGACTCTGACTTCCCCAAACCAACACAGCCACCTGTCTGTCCAATAAACAGAGGGGCTGTGTAGTCAATATAGTTAACCACCCTAAAGGATGAGCTGCTGCCCTCAGAGATGGGATGTGTGCTAAAGTCTAAGGCCACCACCGCTGACTCTGAAGCAGATCTGATGCTGGTGAACTTGGGTCTGAAAGCGACACTGCCGTTCCCTCTTCACATGTGGCAGAGGCCTTGCTGACTGAAGACTTCCCTCAAACCATGCTCACCTTTGCTTAGCGTCCTCTTCAGGAAGATCAGTACCTAGGAAAAAAGACAACAAGGAATGAAATACCTTGTGCAAACTTTCAACAAAGCTCTGCCCTGAGCACCTGATGTCTAAAAATGAGGCAGCCACTCATTAGGAATCTTTATAGGTACAGCCAACAGACTGTTCTATGTGATGGAAATCTGGAACTGAGCTGTTTCTTGGGAGTCCACGATCCCATGCCCACAGAGAGGCAGGGAATGTGTTAACCTTCTTCAGAGACTGCTCTCATATCTCTCCTCCCTCAGATTATTTTTTTACAAGATGGAGTAGCCAACAACAGCTTCTTGGTTACAATCAATAGTTCCACACACAAAGCATGTTGTACCAGCTGAGCCCTGGAACAGGGACTGCTGAAAAATCCTACACCTGGAGAAAAAAAATTCAGGATCTTTGCTTAACACCTGATCTAAAACATTGAAGTCTATTTTGATTGGATTTTCTGAAACTAATGAAAATAACTAAACAAACAACTCACTGCAGTAATGACGTTTCCATCATGCATGCTTACTGCTTCTTCTAGGAGTTGTAATTTGTCCTGTAAGGAGCGGAATCTTTCTAGTGAGCAGACCTGGCAAAGAAAGAACAGAGTTACTGAACAAGGAAGAAGACACTTTCTTGTATTTCTCTGTCACTGGATACTGAAGAATGGGCAACAATGAAAGGAAATGTCCTTGAGGATGGCCCCTTTATTGTTACATTATGGGCCCCATTGCTGTACGGAACAGCAGGTTCCCACTACACCCTCTCTAGTTCAGCCTTACACCCTGTTGTTGTTAGATGCCGTCGAGTCGGTTCTGTCTCATACCCTCCCTATGGTATTGTTATGATACTTCTAATTTCAGTTGGGTCTGCTGTGATATCACCCATCTCATTTCTTATACAGGTTATCTGCTTCCTCTCCTGTTTTTCTTTTGTCAGTTTGGCCAGTGGTTTATCAGTTTTGTCGATCTTTTCAAAGAACCAGCTTTTGGTCTTGTTAACTCTTTCAGTTGTTTTTCTATTCTCTATTTCATTTAATTCTGTTCTAACTCTTACGGTTTCCTTTCTTCTGGAGCCTGAAGGCTTCTTTTACTGCTTGCTTTCTACTTGTTCCAGTTATAGAGTTAATGTTTTGATTATGGCCCTTTCTTCTCTTTGGATGTGTGCATTTATTGCTACAAACTGACCTCTGAGCACTGCTTATGCTGCGTCCCAAAGGTTCTGGTAGGATGTGTTTTCATTCTCGTTTGATTCTATGAATTTCTTTATTCCATCCTTAATTTCTTCTATAACCCAGGAGTTTTGAGCAAGGTGTTGTTCAGTTTCCATGTGTTTGATTTTTTTTCCTTGCTTTTTCTGTTGTTGATTTCTACTTTTATGGGTTTATGGTCAGAAAAGATGCTTTGTAATATTTCGATGCTTTGGATTTTGTTAAGGCTTGCTCGATGGCCTAATATGTGGCCTATTCTGGAGGATGTTCCATGTGCACTGGAAAAGAAAGTATACTTGGCTGCTGTTGGGTGGAGTGTTCGGTATATGTCTATGAGATCAGGCTGGCTGACTGTAGCATTTAGCTCTTCTGTGTCTTTGTTGAGCTTCTTTCTGGATGTTCTGTCCTTCACCAAAAGTGGTGTGTTGAAGACTCCTATTACTATTGTGGAGGTGTCTCTCCCTCTTTTCAGTGCTGTTTAGAGTTTGTTTTATGTATTTTGGAGCCCTGTCATTGGGTGCATAAATATTTATTATAGT